TTTTTTTTTTTTTTTTTTTTATGCCCCTCTTTTTCCCGGGAGGGACTCAGGGCGGCTAACAAACCCGAGGGGGGGGGAAAACAAGAAGGGAATACTACAAACAAAGTACAAGAGAATTTAAAAAGATAATCAACAGAATGCAAAGCAGAGAAGGAGGGCCTTCTCTGTGGCTGCTCCGGCCCTTTGGAACAAACTTCCTGTGGAGATTCGGACCCTCACCTCCCTCCAGTCTTTCCGCAAAGCCGTTAAAACCTGGCTGTGCCGGCAGGCCTGGGGTTGACGAGTTCCCTTCCCCCCTCGAATTGTGTGACTGTTGATTATCTTTTTTAATTCTCTTGTACTTTGTTTGTAGTATTCCCTTCTTGTTTTACCCCCCCCTTGGGTTTGTTAGCCGCCCTGAGTCCCTCCGGGAATAGAGCGGCATATAAATACAATAAACCTTCAAACCTTTATTGGAATTGCATGATGACCATACTCACACGGAGAGCTTGCAATTCTGGAAGATCGGTATAACAGCAAAGGAGAATATTGTTGGTCATACTGAAACTCTCACGTACTCCCAGGTGATAGAAAAGTGAAGGCTGACACAAGCTGTTGCTCATCTCCACAACCACCACATCTGTAAAGATAGAAAGGGCAGATATCAACCACAGAACACCAGCTCTTCCACGTTTCCACACTGCCCTCATCCAGCTGGTGGCTAAGGGCAGGTTACTGAGGCCAATCCCATTCATCTTGAGCCACCTCTTGAACAAACAGAGAAGAAAGCATTCTAGTCATCAGGGACAGAACGTTCCACAAAAACATAACAATCCCTGGCATCTTAATGTCTTTGGAGACCACACCCTGCTGCTTGTTCATTGTCCACCAAGAGTTTTGAAGGTCCGTGCAGCTTTGCAGCTAGCACCCAAAACCTCCTGTGCAATTTATCAAGAGGTTGAAGAACTTTGAAAGAGAAGGGATCAGATCAGGGGTGTCAAACTCAATTTCATTGAGGGCTACATGAAGGTTATGTTTGACCTCGGAGGACCGGGATGGATGTAGCCAGGGTGGGCATGGCCAGCTCAACATCACTGGTGTTGGGGGCGCCGGTGGTGGCTCAACCGCTCTGCCAGTAAGAAAGGGTTCCTGAACTCTGTTTTGACCCGAGATGGCTTCCTCCCACCCTCTGCCAGCAAAAACGGAGCTCAGGAGGGACGCCTGCTGCCCTTGCGAGCTCTGTTTTCAGCTGCGACAGCCTCCTGCAACTCTCTGCCAGTGAAAACAAAGCTCAGGAGGGCTGCTGGCAGCCCTTGCAAGCTCCGTTTTCGCTGGTAGAGTCACTGTGGGCCGGGCCTTCACTCTTTCCAGGGCAGCCCTGTGGGCCAGATCTAAGCACCCCACGGGCCGAATCCAGCCCCCAGGCCTTGAGTTTGACACCCCTGGATCAGATTGTTCTGAGGACAACGAGCAAACTAAGCGGCTGCCCTACATACTTTGTAGGCAGAATTTCCCAGGATATCCCAGGCGGAAGTAAGCACCCAGGCTAAAATCTTGCAAAACTGTTGCTGGTCCATTCAAAAGAATACCAAAATAGAGGAACTAAACAGCCTTAGGGCGACTTATTTTACTGATCCATTCCATTCATTGAATATTTCTTTCTTGCTGCTTTTTAAGTGCGCGTATAATTGTTTGCAGGAATTGTTTCCTACGCTCTTGTTCTTGAAGATTGTTGCTACGCTTGTCTATTAGACGATCAGATACTGTATGTATGCCAGTGTGCATATAAATATATGCATAAGGGGAGATAATTGCAAGAGAAACAAACAAGTAAAAGCAAAACAAAATAAAAACACTGCTTAGCACCCTTTTTCTCTTTGTAATAGGAATGCTCCTACTTAATGTTCTGGCCAGGTTTTTGGGCCCTTTTCCTAAGACGATCTGGCCTACTTTATAACAGAAAACAATTTTTTGAAAACTTGTCCAGTTCAATTTAAAGATAAAAGAAGCACAAGGGGGGGGAGATTTATAATCAGACGCTGCTCGTTAGCCTGATCATAATCTTTCTCAGAATTGTAAGCAGGATCCACAGTGTTGTTTTTTTCAATCCCAGCAATTATTTTATCTAAGGGGATTAATGCTTGTCTTTTTTATCTATACCCATCACCGGTTGTTTCCTGTTTGAGAGGGGTGTACAAAAGGTCAGCTAATCCTGGGCTGTGTTTCTTCTCAAATTCTTCTGAGATGACAACTGTACAATCAGTCAAAGGTGGAAATGGTTGTTCTGACCCAGCCTTAGCAGAAGCAAGAAACCTCTTTATTTATCTCCTGTGAATTAATGGCATTCACACACCAAAAAATCCAGGCAATAGTCCTTCGAAGTCCTTGCGACAATTGCCAGGCTGTGAGCTCCAAGCTGCAAATTCAGTTCTGGCAAGCAGTCACGAAACACGATGAGCCAAATCTTCAGAAATCCAAACTGTTGTCTCCTATGACCACCACTCCCCTTTCCTTCTATTTATTCCCCAGCCAGGGAGGGGCTATTCAGCATCCATGTGTGCCTTGAGCTTCCTGAGTCAATTCCTTGTCCTCAATTTTCCTCCTCCCCTAATGCGCATACATCAGGAGTGGGTTGCTGCCGGCATTACTGCAGGTTCAGTGCGCAAAAAATGAAATGCAGTGATTCACTTATCAACTGGGGCAAGAAAAGTTGTAAAATGGGGCAAATTTCACTTAACAAATGTCTCACTTACTGACAAAATTTGGGCTTCGTTGTGGTCATTAGTTGGGGACTTCCTGTATTTGCTAGTCATTCCTGACTCTAGGGGGCAGTGCTAATCTCTGTTTCAAAGCTGAAGAGCCAGCGATCTCCGAAGAAGTCTCTGTGGTCAGGTGGCCGGCATGACTAAATGTCGAAGGCGCATAGAACACTGTTACCTTCCCACCAAAGGTGGTTCCTATTTTTCTACTTGCATTTTTACATGTTTTCGAACTGCTAGGTTGGCAGAAGCTAGGACAAGTAACGGGAGCTCACTCCATTATGCGGCGCTAGGGATTTGAACCACCGAACTGCTGACAAGCTCAGCATCTTAGCCACTGAGTCACCGCGTCCCTCTAAGTTGAGGACCACTTATATTCAGTGGTATACCCAGGACAACTCACTGCGGCCAACTCGCCCCAGGACAACTCATTGCCAGACAAGAGATAATATCGAAGAAATAGTAGAATAGGCTCATGATAAAAGGGAGGCCAAAGGAGGGACAAAATGAAACGTGGACATCAAAAAATAAAATAATTTTAATTATTATAAATAATTAAATTGAATTGTTGAATTGTCCTGCCGTGAGCTGCCCCGTGGCAAGTTGGCCGTGGCAATTTGGCTGTAACGAGTTGTCCATTCCGTTCAGGGTTACCTCTAGTCTGGAAGGGGCTCAAGGCAAAGGATGCTCTGGAGAGCTTCCTCTTTTCTCGCAGGCCATCTGAGCGTTAATAATGCATTAGCAGTGCTCCAAATCCATTCACTCATCTGCCACATACATTTCCTGCTACGCTTACAGCAAGGCTACAATCAGGCATGCTTCAGGAGATGAACACGGCCAAGAAATCCAGCGGAATAATCATGGTGGTTGCACCCGGGAGGCAAACTTTAATTAAAGGAGGAGTCCACGGAAGGTGTGTGCGAAGCTGGGTGCCAAGTGCTGATGTTGAGTCTCTTGGACACATCGGATTTGTGGTGTGACAGTTTGACAAGCGGCTGTCCAAGTTTTAACTTGCTCAGCCTGTCAGGCAGGAGCTGATTAAGAGGATGTTCGCTCTCACATCCTTTGTGGCTCCCCTAGTAATTACACATTGCTTCTGTCCTAACCCACCACTAATTTCATTCATTTGCATAGATTTCCCTTTTTCTACACTGCACTTCTCTTCCTTTCTTGGGAAGATCCGTTCTGCACACAGCCGAATGAGGAGGCTGATCCAGACAACATTTTTTTCCCTTTCAAACCTTCCTCGCAGATAGAATATCAACTCAAGACTACTTTTTCCATTCTGCCGGAATTCAGACCACCAGTGGTAAGGGGGCGGGATCTTAAAAAGTACCTCAGAGCATGCTCAGAGCATGCACAAGTACCATATTTTTCAGAGTATAAGATGCACCTTTTTCCCTCAAAAAAGAGGGTGAAAATCTGGGTGTGTCTTATACACTGAATACAGCAGTGTTTCTCAACCTTGGTCACCTGAAGATGCGTGGAGTTCAACTCCCAGAATCCCCCAGCTAGCAGAGCTAGTTGGGGAATTCTGGGAGTTGAAGTCCACGCATCTTCAGGTGGACCAAGGTTGAGAAGCATTGGAATACAGTGTTTTTGACTCCTGAAACCCCGCCCCCTTTGCAAAAATGGCCCTGCATAGCCTTTAGGAGGCTTCCAGAGTGCTACTGGGGGCGGGCAAAAATGAGTGAAAAATGGGCCATTTTTTTGCTTTTTTTTTGCCCCTCCCCAGCCTCCAGGAGAACTCTATATAAGCCTCCTAAAGGCTATGCGTGCCCTGTTTTTGAAAAAAAAATGGGTCCGTTTTTGTGAAAAAATGGGCCATTTGGGGGAGTTCTGCCGAGTGCGAAAACTTTTTTTAAAAAATTTGCCTCTTCAAAATCTTGGTGCGTCTTATACTCTGGTGCTTCTTATACTCCAAAAAATATGGTAAATGCATAACCACCACTCTTTAAAGTAGCCGCATCTTTTCTCAGGACTGTACGATTGTCATCACTGACTCTGCAATCCAAGAAAAAAAGACACAGCAGCTTTGAGGATGCGCAGACAGATGCTGCAAGGCATCTTTCTGGAATCAAACCCAATGCATTATGCAGCTGAAACAGAAAATGCAAACCCAAGAATCTGTCTGATGATGGAAGCCAGGAGTGCTTTGCATACTTAACACCTCCAGCAACTTTTTCGTTGAATGGCAATCTACCAGGAGATCCTTCCAGGTCTGGAAGGAACTTGTCTTCCTTGCCTACTTTGCATATAATGTTAATTCATAATGTAGATAGGTTCTGGCTTGATAAGATCACCTATGGTGGACTAGAATTATATGCAAATCAGTTTGGAATTCTTGAATTAGCATCATGTTATCTACGCTGATACACTTCATTAAGCCACATCAAGGTTTTCTTGTATATTGCATGGATTTGTATGTATGAACTGGACATTGTAGTTTGCCATCCATGGCTTAGAATGGGGTGGGTGGGTGTCAAACTCAAGGCCCGGGGGCCGGATCTGGCCCTTATGGTGCTTAGATCTGGCCCATGGGGCCACCCTGGAAACAGTGAAGGACTGGCCTGCAGTGCCTGTGCCAGAGAAAATGGATGTCAGGAGGGCTGTACACGGCCCTCCGGAGCTCTGTTTTCACTGGCAGAGGGCTGCAGGAGAATCCCCCCAGCCCTTCCCGGGCCACCACAGGTACTGCCGACATGAGTGACATTGAGATGACCACGCCCACCCAGTCAGCCACGTCATGCCTCCACCCCTGAGATCAAACACAACCCTGATGCGGCCCTCAATGAAATCGAGTTTGACACCCCTGGCTTAGAACAAGTGAAAAAATGTGGCTAGGCCCAAATTTATATTTAAATGAACGACAGTGTGTGAACTTACCATAATTTTTGGAGTATAAGACGCATCTTTCCCTCCCCTAAAAGTGGGCGAAAATTTAGGTGCATCTTATAGACCGAATACAGGCATTTTTGGCATCCCGAACTCTGCGTGCATCATGTTTTTGCCCTCCACGGCCAACAGAAGCACTCTGCAGTGTTCCGCACAATCAGTTTTCACCCAAAACACACCCGTTGTTGGCCTGCGGAGTGCTTCTGGGGGCCTGAGAGGGCGAAAACGCGATTCACCGAGGACAAAAACAATTTTTTTCTTGTTTTTCTCCTGTAAATTTAGGTGTGAACATTTTAGTCAACTTATAGTCTGAAAAATACAGTAAGTGACTGACTGTTCAAGCAGTCAACCACAAGTTGGCTACGCAAATTTGTTAACCTGGCATATTGTTCAAACCTAGCTTATTTTGATCAGTTTGTGTTTCAGTATGTTGGGTGAAGATCCAGAAAATTGGGTGTACTGAATAAACCATGAGAAATCTGTGTTATTCCCTCAAGGCCTGCACAGTTTTATCACGGTAGTGATGAGGCGTTTTTATGAGGGATGAGCAAAAGACTTTTGGAAGCGTACAAGAAGAGTTGGTTAAGGCCTCAGCCTAGAAACTAGGGGACTATGAGTTCTAGTCCTGCCTTGGTTATGAAGTCAGCTGGCTCACCTTAGGCCAGTCATCTCAAATGTGCTTTTTTTTCCTTCAAAAGGCTGGACTGTTTTTTTTCCTTGAGGAGGAAGAAGTAGAAAATGTTTAGCTTCTCACCCAAGAAGCTTCATCGGTTCTGATGGGGGTAGGAGCAGTGGTGGGATTCAAATAATTTAACAACCGGTTCTCTGCCCTGATGATTTCTTCCAACAACCAGTTCACTAAACTGCTCAGAAAGTTCACAACTGATTCTCTCAAAGTGGTGCCAACTGGCTGAATCCCACCACTGGGTGGGAGGAATGGAAGGATCGATACTGATAGAATGGTGGGGATGATGGAAAGATTATATGTCTTTGCAGAACCTACCCTTCCACTCCCACCCACCCCCATCCATCATAACCGTCATTACTTATCCTTCCATTCTCCCCTACCATCAACACCATCAGAACGGATGAAGCTTCTTGGATGAGAAGCAAAATATTGTTTCTGTTTCTTCTTCTTCTTCTTCTTCTTCTTCTTCTTCTTCTTCTTCTTCTTCTTCTTCTTCTTCTTCTTCTTCTTCTTCTTCTTCTTCTTCTTCTCCTCCTCCTCCTCCTCCTCCTTTTCTTCCTCCTCCTTCCTCTCCTTCCTCTCCTTCTTCCTTTTTCCTTCTCCTTTATCTCCTCCTCTCTCCTCCCTCCTCTTCTCTCCTCCTCCTCCTCCTTCCTTGAGGGAAAAAACAGTCCAGTTGCCTTTTGAAGGGGGGGGGGGGAAGCACCTTTGAGACAACTACAACTTGGATGACTGAGAATCTCCACAAACAACTGGGCCAGTCACTCTTTCATACACTTAAAAAAAAAAATAGACAAGGGCAAACTACTTGCGAAATCTTGCCAAGAATACCGCAGGGACTTGTTCAGGCAGATGCCACGAGTCCAAAAAATAAAACAAAGTGTGACTCAACGCCACAAACACACAACAAAAGTATATACCGACAGGAGAGAGACCCAAGGGGGAAGGTTATCCTAGCCACCCAAGTAGAGTAGATGCCTACTCAGGAATCTGATGGAGGCGAATGATCACGTTAGTTACAGTAGAAAGGTATAATTAAGGTATAATTTAATACTTTGTGGGAGAAAGCAATGGTAAATCACTTCTACACTATACCACAGTGATGGCTAACCTTTTTGTTGGTGTGTGCTGAAAGCGTGTGTGCACACCCATAATGCAATGCGTGCACCCCGCGCATCCATGCGTGATACCCCCACATGTGCCCAACTCCCTGCACATGCACACGTGACCCCCCCGCTCCCCCTTTCCCCTGTGCATGCACATATGACCCCCGCCCCTTTACACATAGCATGCATCTCCTGCATGCGCCCCGCCCCTGCGCATGCACAGCAGAGACCTGAAAACCAGCTGGGCGGCAGGAGGCATGCACGCTTGCAGAGTGGATCATGCCCACAAAGAGGGCTCTGCATGCCACCTGTGGCATGCATGCCATAGGTTCACCATCAGAGATCAGTGGTTCTCAAGGTTGACTCAGCCTTCCATCTTTCTGAGATGGGATAAATGAGGACCCAGATGGTTGGGGGCAAGAGGCTGACTCTGTAAACCGCTTAGAGAGGGCTGTAAAGCACTGTGAGGTGAAGTGCTATTGCTATTCTCAAACTTGGCAACTTTAAGATGTGTGGACTTCAAAGCATACTGGCTGGGGAATTCTGGGAGTTGAAGTCTTAAAATTGGCAAGCTTGAAAAACACCAGATTAGGAAACAGAAATGAATGTCTAAACAAAGAAGGCCAACAAATCTGGAGAGTGACACAATGAACAGCAGTTTAGATGAGGTCAGTCTATATACCGGTTCCTCCCTCCCCCCCCAAAAAGATTTATTGTGCAAATACGGCACAATATCCTTAATTTTATCTGCTAGCAAAATAGCTTTTAGGATCATTCAGAGCAGATTGGAGCCTTATATGGGAAAGAGAGATAGCAAATGTTTCAAGCTGGCTTTAGAAAAACTGCCCTCTCTAACCGTGCTCCTTATTTTTCTGCATCTGCCAAAAACAGAAGGATTCAGAGAGGCACTAGCTCAGTGAAAAAGTATGTGCTTTGCATGTTTACAGTTCTAAGATTTAAGTTCCCGCCAGCTCCGATTAAAACGATAAAGTAATAGACATTGAGAAATAGCTCTTTGCCTCTGAACTCAGAAACCTACAGGATTAGATGCACTAAAAGCATTCAAGCGGCTTCTTTTCTACATAATACTCAACTCTATTTTATTAAATTACTAAATAATTAGTTTAGATTTCATTAACAAAGCTCCGGAATAACATATCCTGCAATAGAACAACCCCCCCAAAAATATGACTTGACTTGTTTATTTTTTATTTCCTTGTGATCACATGTTGCACTTATAGTTATTTCGGCTGTCAATTTCATTTTAAATTCTGTGCTTTAAATTCCAGAAGTGCTTTGACAAGAGGGGCAGTATTACATCTTGGAAACAAATAAGTGAAATTTAATTAAATTGAATTCTTGATGTGCTCAAGGACTGGTATATTTATTTCCCATTAGCTCAAAGTAATTTAATAATAATTTTTAAAACTGCAGCAATTGCGATATAAGTTGGAAGAGTTTCTAAGAAACTGAAATTCGTGAAAGCTTTTTCAAGCAAAAAAAAAAACCCTTCCCATTTTCTGGTCTACATAATTGAATTTTCCACAGACTGCTGAAGCTGCAAAGTTTCTGCAAAAAACTCACAGTCTATATAGGAATGCATTTATTTATTTATTTCCCGCCTTTATTATTTTTATATAAATAACTCAAGGCAGCAACACATATTTGATACCGCTTCCTCCTAGTTTCCTCGCCACCACAACAAACCTGTGAGGTAGGTTGGACTGACAGAGATAGGAACTGGCCTCTCACAGAGCAATAGGTAGAATTGATTTCCCACCTTTACTAAGGTATAATTTGATTCCTATATTTGGAAAGAAAGGCATGGTTTGATGGACACCTCAAAGAATAGATTCAAACTTGCAACAAGTTCAGGAAATTGTAGGAAACATTCTGGCTGGATCCACACAAGATATTAAGCCTGTGTATTTAACCAGGTGTTAAATGCAACCCTTAGGCTTGCACAACTTTCTGGATTCACACAAAACACTCAGAACTAAGACCGCCACATTATGGCTTATGGTAACCCAGGTTTTCCCAGTTGCAATACATAGCTGTGAAAGTTGGACTATAAGAAAGGCTGAGCGCCAAAGAATGGAGGCCTTTGAACTTTGGTGCTGGAGAAGACTCCTGCGAGTCCCTTGGACTGCAAAGCAATCCAACTGGTCAGTCCTAGAGAAGATCAACCCTGACTGCTCTTTAGAAGGCCAGATCCTGAAGGGGAAACTCAAATACTTTGGTCACCTAATGAGAAGGAAGGACTCACTGGAGAAGAGCCTCATGCTGGGAAAGATGGAGGGCAAAAGAAGAAGGGGACGGCAGAGAAGGAGGTGGTTGGATGGAGTCACCAAAGCAGTCAGCGTGAGCTTAAATGGACTCGAGAAGATGGTAGAGGACAGGAAGGCCTGGAGGAACGTTGTCCATGGGGTTGCGATGGGTCAGACACGACTTTGCAACTAACAACAACAACCCAGTTTTTAACCTGCCTTCCTCCTTCCTTCTGCCCTCCCACCCACCCAACCAGTTCTTGCTGAAATAAATACATTAGATGTGTCAAAACTTCAAATCTCCACTTGTGGGAGTCCAGCCATTACAATTGTGAACCTGCCGTCTCCAAATTGGGAGTCGAAGTCCAACACGTAGGATGAGGAAAACCCGGCTTATGGTTTACGGAGTTGCGTGGGAATCCAGTTCAGGTTAAAAACCAAAGTCCTGTTAAGCAGCATTTAGCACAGAATCCAGCCCTTACACAGATTAACAGAGTTGGAAGGGGCCTTGTAGGTCATCTAGTCCAACCCACCACTCAAGCAGGAGACCCTACATCATTTCTGACAAATGGCAGTCTAATCTTTTCTTGAAAGCCTCAAGTGATGAAGCTCCCACAACTTCTGAAGGCAACTTCTGTTCCATTGGTTGATTACTCTCACTGTCAGAAAGTTACTTCTTATTTCTAGGTTGAATCTCTCCTTGGTCAGTTTCCATCCCTTACTCCTTGTCTGGCTTTGGGGGCTTTGGGAAATAGCTTCACCCCCCTCCTCTCTGTGGCAGCCCCTCAAATATAAGAACACTGCTATCATGTCTCCCCTGGTCCTTCTCTTCACTAGACTAGCCATGCCCAGTCTCTATAGCCGGGGTAGCGCGGCGCAGGGGACTCACCCGCGTTATAGAAACGGTCCAGACTGTCCGTGACTCCCAGCATCAGAGTGCCGAAAGGCACCGTGGCGAGCTCCGTGCCCGGGAACTCCCTGCAGGCTTCCTGCAGGCACAAAAAGGGCAGCGGTTTTTCCAAATCCTCGGTGGAGACGTAAACCACGCGCAGGGCTCGGGTCCTGCCGCCGCCGCCGCCCTCTCGGCAGCCCTGGCTACCCGCCGGGGAGAGCGGCTTGCTGGGGGTCAGGGCCATGGCCAGCGTGTCCTGCCAGAGGCTGCCGGCGCTGCCCAGCTTGGAGTCCGTCGCCTCCATCCCGCGGGGACGCCTGGCGGGCCCGGGGTCCAAGCGCGCGCCTTCAGTCGTCCGAGGGACCCATCGCCCCAATTGGCATCAGATCAAAGCCACCACCAGCCGCCGACCACTTTCTTCCCTCCTGGAACTTTCGCCTTCCTCTCTCTCTCTCAAAAGAGGCTATTGACAAACTTCCAGGCTGCGCGGTGCGACCCACGTGCCTGTGGCGAGCCCCGCCCGGGCGGGGGCGTTGAGAGTCAAGTGCCCGACTGCTCGCCCAGGGCCGAGGAAGCGACTTGCAGGCAGCCTGTTGCTGTCGGAAACCTCTCGGGGCTTTTCTCCTTCCTGGGCGCTCCTCGGGCCGAAAGGGCGGGAGGCGAGGCGAGCGGGAAAACGCCCACGAGCTGCTGGCGCAATCCGGGGAAAGGCTCCAGCTGGAACGGCGGTGGCGGCGGCTGTGTGTCTTTCCGCCGCCTTCCCTCCCGGGACGAAGCCGCAGGGCGAACGGTGGCGTCCCGATTGCGCAAAGAGGAAGGCAGGCAGCGGGGGGGGGGGGGGGGGGGGGGGGGGGGGGGGGGGGGGGGGGGAGAAGAGGCGAGTCCCGACCGAGGCTCGGCTCCGTGGCGGGAGCTGCCGGCTCTGCCTCTCCCCCCCTCCCCCCCCGCGGCCGTCCCGGCTTCCAGCTCCCGCCTGCCAAGTGGCGCTCCTTCGGCATTCACGAGAGTTCCGGGAAAGTTGAGAAAGGAAGCACCGCTGGGTTGCTGCTGTTGTTGTTGACGTTTGATTCTCATCCTCCCCCCATGTGATAGTAAACTTCCCTTTCTCGCTTGCTTTCTGCCTTCCTTTTCTCTCTTTTCCTCTCCTGCCTTCCTTCCTTCCTTTTTTCTCTTTCTCTTTCTTCTTTTTCTCTTCTTCCATCTCCTTCCTTCTCTTTTTCTTTCTTTTTTCCTTCCTTTGCTCTCTTTCCTTCCTTTTTTATCTTTCTCTTCTCTTTCTCTTCTTCCATCTCCTTCCTTCTCTTTCGTCTTTCCTTCCTTTGCTCTCCTTCCTTTCTTTTTTCTTTCTCTTCTCTTTCTCTTCTTCCATCTCCTTCCTTCTCTTTTTCTTTCTTCTTTCCTTCCTTCTCTCTCCTTCCTTCCTTCCTTTTTTCTTTTTCTTTCTTCTTTTTCTCTTCTTCCATCTCCTTCTCTTTTTCTTTCTTCTTTCCTTCTCTCCCCTTCCTTCCTTCTTTTTTCTCTTCTTCCTTTTTCTTTCTTCCATCCCTCTCCATCTCCTTTCTTCCTTTTTCTCTTTTTCTTCTTTTTCTCCTTCCTTCCTCTTTTCTTTCTTCCTTCCATCTTCTTCCTTCCTTTTTTCTCTTTTTCTTCCTTCCGTTTTTCTTTTTCTTCCTTCTCTCTCCTTCTTTCTTTCTTTCTTTATTTTTTCCTTCCTTCCTTTTTTCTCTTTTTCTTCCTTTTCTCTCTCTCCAGTTTTGAGCATATACTATTCTGGCCGCCATTATTATGTGTAACATAAAATATTGGGATTTTTTTTTTGTTATAGCAAAAATGCTTTCAAACAGATCACCGGAATGCTGGAAATGCAAATAGATACACGGAACATATTATCACATGTGGTGGACCTGTCCCTCAGCAAAAAAATATTGGATAAGGATTTAAAAATGGTTAGAGGGAATGGTAAAACAGCAAATAGTGTTAAACCCGGAGCTATTCCTATTAGGCATATTATCAGGGAATTATAACCAAAAAAACTTTTTATCTTCTTCCATCTCTTTCCCTCCCTCCCAACTTTAACTGCCCAACAAATATTTTCTCATGACTGCTGTTTACCTTTTATCTGCTGGATCTTTGCAGCCACCACTGGTGGCCCTAAGTGAATTCACATTGAGTACCTTGTCATGGAACATTTGGTTATAAATAAATGCCCCGCATTCATACAATATACAAGCCACTGAATTGAACCCTTGAACCCATCATACTTTAAGGTTAAACTTAGCCAAGTGTGAATGAAGGCAGTGTGTTTAGAAATGATTTGGTTAAGCTGAATGCAGTGAATGCAGTTTTCATTCAATTACAAAGAACTGGCATGTCTGTCATTGAGGAAATTATATGCTTACTTCAGGAAAAGAAATATATGTGAAAGGTCAGAATCCACCTGTGCAATGTGCAATGTTTAGTTTTAAATCTTTCACTCTGTGATGAGAATGGAAGTGAAAAATATGAAATGAAGCAAGAATGAACTGCCAGTTCTCCAGTTGTTTTGGTCGGCATCCCTCACCACCAGCCAATATCACCAATAGTTAGGGAAAATACAAGCTGCAAGATGTTATCACTGGAATAGTTCTGGCTAATTATCATATTATTTTCCTTAGATGGGGTGACTTATTGCACTAAATAAAATCAGTTGCTCAAATTTTGATCATAAGACCACAGAAATGCAGAGACTGTTGTAAATACGAGGACCAAACATAAATGGCTTTTTTCAGTGGTGGTATAACTTTTGTTAGTCTTTAAATGAATAGCCATAAGTCAAGAACTACCTATGGTGGTTAACGCATCACATGCTTGGAGACTATGAATTCTAGTCCTGCCTGAGACCTAGTCAGTTGGGTGATGGGCTACTCACTCTCTCTCAGCCCCTCGGAAGGAAAAAGTTCCCTTTCACGCATATGTGCTAGTCATTCCTGACACTAGGAGGCGGTGCTCATCTCTGTTTCAAAGCTGAAGAGCCAGCACTATCCGAAGACATCTCCATGGTCATGTGGCCGGCATGACTAAATGCCGAAGGCGCACGGAACGCTGTTACCTTCCCACCAAAGGTGGTTCCTCTTTTTCTACTTGCATTTTTTACATGCTTTCGAACTGCTAGGTTGGCAGAAGCTGGGACAAGTAATGGGAGTTCATTCCATTTTGCAGTGCTAGGGATTCGAACTGACAAACTGCCAACCTTTCTGATGGACAAGCTCAGCGTCTTAGCCACTGAGTCACCATGACCTTTTCTCTCGGAAGAAAGAGGCAAGAGAAATCACTTCAAAAATCTTGCCAATAAAACTTTGAGCCAGTTGTTTTCCAAATATATTCTCATTAAAAGAACATGCATGCATAGAAAGATGCTTAGATTGGAGAAAGTTTGTTTTGGATTTTGTAGAAAGCGTTTGGAGCTTGCCGCTCAGCTGAACAAGGTTCTCACATGAAGTCAGGGTCGGATGATCTCTAGCTTCAGTGATTCTATATTATAGATGCAGCATCAAAGGAAAACAGACTGGGAGGGAGGAGGAAAAAAATGCAAACTCAGACATTATCATACTAACGAGAAATTATTGCCTATGCTAATTATATTCCATGTAAAGGAGGAACCTGAACTTGCTGGCATTCTGATTTCCCCTTGTTTTCCAGAGAAAAATACACCCTGTCTGCTCTCTAGTCTGTATATTCCCTCTCCTTGTGTTCTGACCGAGGCTTCCCAAGGGCCTGAAGCAAACTCCTTGTCCCGACAAAAACCCCTTTTATTAATTTGCTGTGAATTCTGCTCATTCACATCCAGCAAAGTCTTTCAAGGGAGGATTTACAGTCACAGACCTTATCTGGCTTGGAGAGCTGACAGGCCGATATCTGCAAAACCTGGCAAGGATTCTCAGAGAGTCACAAACTAATAGTCTCCTGCAACTCCACTCCCCTTTCACTCCTCTTTTATTTTCTCTGGGAGGGGCCATTCATCGTCCACCTATGGCCTTACTCCCTTACAGTCAACCCCTGTTCTTTAGCTGTTCCCTTCGTCTGGCAACTCTGCTCAATCTAATATTTTCCGAATTACATTCTCATCTGATGGGATGAGAGTGTT